AACGAAAGACTCACTCTCTCTGAGTTTTGCTTTCCACACGGCCGCGTCAGACTCCAGCTCAACCAAAGACAAGGTGAAGTCCTCAGGTTTCTCCAAATAGACTTCGATGTAATTTTTTAGCGTCAAGGAAGATTCGTTGCAAAACTCAATATCCTATACAACGTAAACGCGTTAAAAATAAAAATAAATATTTAGCCAAAACATAAACTAATGGCTGCTTGCACACATCTAAGCCCAACTCCAATCTCCCCAGATTTCTGATGTTGGTTTTAGCACCAGGATTTCATTCCAAAATTTTAGGGCTCCCAGAGACAAACACTTTCTGCAAGAATGGCAAATGAATGTGAAAAACGCCCTTAACATCAGCGCAGGAAAAGCCATTTTTGTACCCTGTTTCTAACGGATCTGCAATGCATGAAATGAGGGTTGTATAAGGGACTTACCGCCGGGTTTATTTCAGCTTCTGGCTCACAAACTAGTCTATACCTCTTGCCGTCCTGAAGAAATTTTTGGCATGCAGGGGGCTTGTCAATTTTAATGAATTTCTTAGGTGATTTTTTTACGTCTTTTGAGATATCCTAAAATTTAAAAATACGATTTAAGGGTTACTTGCCTCAGTAAAGGAATTAACTTTTAAAGCCTGGACTAATGAGGCTCCTCGGGCTCTTCCCTGTTCCCAGTTCTGTCTATCTGCGATGCTGTTAAGTCATAGGCTGGACTTGAGGATCTCAGAGGTCTTTTCCAGCCTCAACAGTGGATTCTGTGATTCTGGGAAAGGCTGTGACCTGTTCCACGGGGCAAACGTCGCGGAGCGGTGCGCGCTAAACAAATAAACTTCTTCAGCTACTACGCTGCACAGATGAAATCAGAGAAGTCTATGACCCAAATAGGAAAATAAATTGAAATACCGACACTCAGTGCTGTCCTTGCCTAGCGCTTGCCTACGTGCTATAGTGGGAAAGGGGCGAGAGGACAAGAAGCTCTTTTGGGTGTGAATCCTGAGCTCTGGGGATGTCGGTGACAAAGATTTCTTTTCTATAACAGCTTGCGAGCGAGCACGTTGGCCAGTATAATTACTTAAATATCATACCCTAACCTGGCAGACCTTTTCGGTGTGGAAGTCTCCCTGTAGCAGGACATTACTACTGCGTGAAAACATCAGGGCGAGAGAAGAGCATCTTTTTGCCGTACCCTGCCCTCCACACAGCAACCCCATAGTCCGCCCCGCCACTGCTCCTACATCAACGCCACCATGAACTCTCCGGAGACGAGCTGCACCTTTAGATTGGAGTTGTCATTCGCAGTCACGTAGACCCGAAAGGATAAGGAAGGGTGCTGGTTGATGGCTTTGTAGATGACGACGACGCCGTGGTACTGAA